TCAGCCAGCGTGTGGCGCACACGGCAGCCATCTTGGGGGCCCGGGCGCTCGGCGCATGCGCGCCCCTCCTGCAACCGGCGCCGGCGAGCCCCGCGCACCTCCTCCTGCGCAAGCGCCCTACCCTACCCGTGGGAAAGGCCCCGACGCGCATGCGGACCGCGGGCGGTCCTTTCCCCGGACTTTTCCCTGCGGTCAATCCACCCGGCGTGCTGCTGGGTCTTAAAGTCCGCCGTTTCACCCTTTCGGCTCTCGGCTTCAGGGGAGGCGCCCAAGTGGGCGGGCGCCAGGGGCAGATGAACCATGAAGCAGAGACTGAGCACGTGCTTAGGGCACCAGGGCCAAAGGGGGCACCACAAAGTTGGGGAAAGGGTGAAACGCTTAGTTTGTACAGTATATTGTGTTATCATAGAATGTTGGAGTTGGAAGGGGGGTCCTAGCAGGTCATCTAGTCCAACCCCCCCTGCACTCTGCAGGAGCAGAGCTGACAGCCCTGCAACACACCCGAAAGATGGTCGTCCAGCCTCCTCCGCTTGGAAACGTCCAGTGAGGGAGCACCCACCACCTCCAGAGGCAGTCTGTTCCACTGATAAACCACTCTGACAGTTAGGAAGTCTCTCCTGATATTTAGCCGCGCGACCCCCTTGTAATTTCCACCCATTAGATCTAGTCTTGCAATCCGGAGCAAGAGAGAATAGATCTGCTCCATCTTCTACATGACAGCCCTTCCGATACTTGAAGACGGCAATCATGTCCCCTCTAAGCCTTCTCTTTCCCAGGCTAAACATGCCCAACTCACCTTTCTTCATAAGACTTTTGGATTCCAACCCTCTCACCATCCTGGTTGCCCTCTTCTGGACATGCTCCAACTTGTCAACATCCTTCCTAAAATGTGGTGCCCAATTATGAATAAATTTTTGTACTGCTGCAACCTGCATTGTACATATCTGGTCAGACAGGTCAACCACTAAAATGGACTGGGGGTCAGTGTGGAAAGGGGGGGGCACCAAGATTGGTCAGCGCTCAGGGCACCAGTGAGCCTTAATCCGCCCCGGGGCAGGGCGCTTTCCCTGGGGTTGGCGGGGGAGGTCGCCCTTTGGCCGGCAGTCTGTTGGAAGAAAGGCAGGTTCATAATTGCAAGGAACCAAAACGGAATGGAGGTTTCTTTCCTTCCTGGATGAGGCTAGGCCGGAGGGACTTTTCTCCCCAAAGCATCTCACATCACCCTCCTCTTCTCCATTTTATCCTCACAACAACCCTGTAAGGGAGATGAGGCGCAGAGTGTGCGACTGGCTTCACAACAGCCAGGGGCCCCTGGAAGAATTTAGCCAGCCCCTTCCCTGGTCTGCTGACCACCCTGCCCCCAACTGGCATTGAGAAGGTGTGCCTTCCTGGAGGGGGGCGGTAGGGTTTATCCCTCCCCTGTCGAAGCCTCCGTCCCTCCCAAGGGGAGGCAGCCTGGCTCAGCCACCAGGCCTGAAGGGGACAGAAAACCCCCAGAAAGGTTTGAAAAAACTTTTATTAAGAGGTTATGTATTTAATACAGAAAAGGTCAGACAGTACAACCCCCCCCAGCCCTCCAACAGGACTGGCTGTCCCTCTCCTCCGGGTCTGACCCTCTCGGGACTGGCTGCCACTGGCCATTGAGAAGGACGCCCAGAACTCCAGAAGGCCCGACAGGAGTGTAGCTCCATTGCTTATATACAACATCCCCCATTCAGCTAAGACTGGAGACGGATTTCTTGTAATTATTTAACTGTTAGTATATTTACAAAAATTTATTGTAATGTTTTAGATTGTATGTTTCATAAATTGTTGTTACCCGCTCTGAACGGGTTTTGGGGAGAGTGGTTTATAAATCGAAATAAATAAATAAATAAATAAAACCTGAATAAGAATACCATTCCAGCATTGACTGCCCATGTGGTGTAGCAAAACTGGTCTTAAACCAGAAAGGGTTTTGATTCAAATTCATATTCAGCCACAAAAACTCAGTGATGGACCTTAAGCCAGCCACTCCCTCTCATCCTAACCTATGTCAAAGATCTGTTGCGAAAATGTATGGTGGATGAGAAGTTCGAGGATAGTGTCAGTTGTCCAGAAAGGTGACTAAAGGTGTCATAAGGGGCATGTTGGGAATTAGATATATAGGTTGTAATGTTTTAGATTGTGTGTTTGACAAATTGGTGTTACCCACTCTGAGTCAGATTCGGGGAGAGCAGGTTATAAACCTAAATAAACAAACAAACAAATAAGCAGCAAGTAGCATTGTCTGTCAAGCTGGGGAAGGTTCATATCGGCATTTCCAGGGCAGCAGAAGACCACCTCCACGCGCTGAAAGGTGTGAAAGTTTCTGGGGTGGGTTCCCTTCTCCAAGAGCTTCCGAGCATCAGCAAAAAGCTCACATCGGTCCGTCCGTCCTGAGCGCGAACAGCAAACCGGGCTTCGTTTCGCCCAGACTTCCGAGTCTGAACCGGCCCACACCCATCCCTGGAGAGGACCGTTCCCGTGGAGTTCACTGGGGGTGTTCCGACCTGCCCCGACATTTTGCCACCGCCCCGTCCTCTCCTGGCCCTCCACGGGTTGTGCCGCCCAAGGGCTCGGGGTTGGCACCTTCAGCAGTTTACAGATCATCTTGCCATGTCTTTGCTTTGAGGGGCGTGCTGCGCATAGGATTGTGACCACAACGCATCAAGGACCGACAGTGGAGAATGCTAAACAAACAAATGATGAAACGGGGCCATCTGCTTCCAGGGGAAGTCATGAGGGTGGACAAGCACAGATGGTCTGGGGGGGGGGGTTATCCACAGGAGTCCTGGCGGAGCGTTCCATCCTGTCAGCAAGCTGCCATTATGTGTTTTGTGACCTCTGTGTACATATCTTTCCCTCTTGCACCCAGCTTGGTTTCTATCATCCTGCTCCTGCGTTGGAATGCAAAAGATAACTGCTGGAGGTTGTGTGGGGGAGAAGGTGCTGTAATGCTTGGCTATTGCTTTTCCCATGAATAGTGCACCTGTGTTTTGTCTGATGTTCTGCCTGGTTCCCATGGCCTGGGCGCGCAACCGTTTCATTAGCCCGCCAGCGGGAAAGTTATTCATTGGATCTGTATCTATTTGAAGTTCCTATATTATGCTTGACCTAACTGTGTATCCCCAGTTCTAACAAAGAACGTGTTTGAGTATGTCTTCAACGCTTTGAAATAAATTTTGCTTTTCTTGAAAACGTGGATTTATTCTCGATGCTTGGGGATCCAACACATCCCTGGCTCGTAGGAGGGTCGTGCTGGCCCCGCCTTCTCAAGCCTCTTGTTCTTTTGGATCGCAGTAATCTGAAACGGAAGTTATTTTCCAGTTAGTTTCACACGATCAGGGCACATTAATATTAGGCCTACCAACCCCTCGGGTTGGGGCAGAGGACTTCTCACCCCACGCTCCTGTTCCACCAGGCAGCAGTGGGGTTTTCGTTTTTTTAAGCAGCATCACAAGTGACATCATCAATGCTTGTGACGTGCCCACCCCATTTTCTCACCCTCAGTCCTTCCCCAGACAACCGTATATAGATCAAGATGTAGGAACAGAACAGACCAATGGGGTCCTGGAATGGGGTTCAGTAGTCGGAGCTCTCCAGTCATTTCGATGGCATTTTCAAAGCCCTCTGAAAGTAGTTCCACTGCTGGAGCAGAAAGGCCAAGAGGTGTGAAGCAGCCTGAAGAGGAGGTGGAGAACAGTAGACTGACTTGGGTAAATGACCATCAGGATGGAGGAAAAGAGAGCCAGTTGCTCCTCAAGAATGGGTTTGCAGGGCCAGGACAAAATTCCATTACTGGTAATCACAAAAGTCAACCAGACACCAGCAGAAGAGAATTTGATGAAGAATCTCTGGAGAGCTTTAGTAGCATGCCAGATCCAGTGGATCCTACTGCTGTGACAAAAACATTCAAACCTAGGAAAGCATCTGCACGGGCCAGTCGGGCTTCCAAAGACAAAACGCCTAAGTCAAAGGATAAGAGAAGGAGTACTTCCCACTTTGAAAACAGGCCTAAAACTAAAGGTTATGAAAGCGCCAGTGTTTCTAGTACATGTGAACCTTACAAGAGCAATAGGAACACTCAACTCGGAAGGAAGAAGTTGTCCAAGCGAAAGTATTCAGTAAAAAGAATCGGGAACAACTAAAACAAAAAAAAATTAAATACAGTAGATCATCAGAAATGTCCCCAGGGTTTTCCGGATCCGGGCTCAGCAACAGAGGACGAATCTCGCCCTCATTCTCTAATTGTGAATATTAAAGCATCAATTCATAGATATATACTCCAATCCACTTGAGGACAAGAGCTCAGACTCGCAAAAGATTATGCTGGAATAAGGGGGGGGGCTTGAGGGACATTTAAAAGTTATATCTGTTTTTACCCCTTTTGGTTTTATTTTTGGCAGTTTCATTTAATGTTAATAAATGTTATTAATTAATGTTAATAAAAAGCCAGTTTGGTGTAGTGGTTAAGTGCGCGGACTCTAATCTGGGAGAACCGGGTTTGATTCCCCCACTCCTCCACTTGCACCTGGCTGGATGACCTCGACAAGAGCTGTCATTGAAAAAGAGCCATTTCTGTCAAGAGCTCTCTCAGCCCCACCTGCCTCACAGGGGTGTCTGTTGTGGGGAGGGGGAGGGGAAGGGAAAGGAGCTTGTAAGCCAGTCTGAGACTCCTTTGGGTAGTGAAGGGCAGGGTATAAATCCAATTTCTTCTTCTTCTTCAAATTTGCATATTTTTAAATAAAAACACATGTGTAATATTTGTTCATATCTTGCGGCTCTCAAACATCTGCCGTTTATTCTGTGTGGCTCTTGCGTTAAGCGAGTCTGGCCACCCCTGGCCTAGTACCACTGAGTAACGAGGAGAGAATTTTATGTTTACAAAAAGACAGCATCACATGCGGCACTATGTCAGTTCTGGTAAAAACCAGCAGGTGACATAGGTCAGGAATCGGTAGAAACTGTGGTCAAACCATAGAGTTTCCAACAATTCCTAGAGTTACCCTATGTCACTTAGAGGTTTTTACTGGAAGTGATGTAGTGCCACAACCAGCAACACAGCCCCCCCCCCCAGCCTTCCTCCATAATGACATACGGGTCGAGGGCCTCTAAGCACTATTAATCGCTCATTTTTGGGGGTGATGTATGCCTCCAAGGCTCAATTCAGGGGTTGGCAGGGGGGAGTACCGATTTGGCTTCGAGCACTCTGGAAGCACCCCTGTAGAAGCTGTGGGATGTACATTCCACATTGACTTGGTGAGGTTTCTGTGGCTCTCGGCTTCCTCCACCTTTCCTGACCTGATGTTCCAGTCTGGTCCATGTACTCCGTGCAACGGGCTATGGACTCCAGCTCCGTGTTCTTGCGGTCCGGTTCTCCACACAACTGGCAGAGGGTAATTTTTCTAGTCTGTGATTAGAGCCCCGAGCGGCTTCATTTGCTCCTTCTCCAGCATCAGCTCTGTATCTTTCCTGTGCGGCTCATCCTGTGGGCGATACATGCCTTTTGCAAGGAAAAAAGTAGTTGAAAGAAGGAAACCTTTGCAGCCAGACAGACAGTCTACAAGGCATTGCTGAAGTCAAAAACAAATTACACTTAAACAAGGATAGTTGAAATGTAACAGCTAACTGGAGTGTTTGGATGGCCTCGCCTCCCACCACCACCAATGCAGCTGTCTTACCACCCGGTGCCAAAACTGCCTAGCACCACCAAGGAAAGGGCATACAAAGGATGTACGTGGCTGGAGTACGGGAGGTGGGAGGGCTCACAGGGCGAGGAGGACACGCTGGTGGGCAGTGGTGGAGGTCCATGCAGGTAGGTGAGCAGGTGGGTGGCGGAGGGATGCAATGGGGGAGGGTGTACAGTGCTCCAGTTTGGTGTGAGAGCCAGTTTGGTGTAGTAGTTAAGTGCGCACGGACTCTAATCTGGGAGGACCGGGTTTGATTCCCCACTCCTCCTCCACTTGCACCTGGCTGGATGACCTTGGGCAAGCCATAGTTCTGATAAGAGCTGTTCTTGAAAAAGAGCCGTTTCTGTCAGAGCTCTCTCAGCCCCACCTACCTCACAGGGTGTCTGTTGTGGGGAGGGGAAGGGAAAGGAGTCTGTAACCCGCTCTGAGACTCCCTTGGGTAGTGAAGGGCGAGGTATAAATCCAATCTCTTCTTCTCATTTTCTCCCTCTAAGCCGAGTTGGTGTGAGCTAGCTCAAAGGGTTTCTTTAGCCTCCGGGTTTCTTTAGCCTTCACACGTTTTTGTCTTAGGTCAGGAAGCAGTTGGCTCCTGTCAGGCTTGGGTTGATTTTAGTTCTGCCTTTAATACCATCCTCCCAGATAGATTAGTGTCCAAATTGGAGGGCCTTGGACTCTCCAGCTCCATATATTTCTGGATTTTGAACTTTTTGACAGCCCGCCCCCAGAGGGTCAGAGTAGGGTCCTATATGTCCACAGCCCTTACCCTTAATACCGGTTCTCCACAAGGCTGTGTATTGAGCCCCTTGCTCTATACCCTCTATACACAGGATTGTACCCCCACCCACCCCAGCAACACCATCATCAAGTTTGCTGATGACACCACTGTGGTGGGGCTCATCTCTGGGAATGATGAGTCTGCTTATCGGGACGAGGTGGAACGGCTTTGTGTTTGGTGCAGGGAAAATAATTTGATCCTCAACACCACCAAAACCAAGGAATTGGTAGTGGACTATAGGAGGAACAAAACGGACATTCAGCCACTGTTTATTGGTGGAGAACGTGTGGAGAGGGTGGCTACTTTTAAGTTTTTGGGAGTGATTATTGAGCAGAACTTGACTTGGAGCACTAACACCACTGCTCTGGTGAAGAAGGCCCAGCAGAGGCTTTTTTTCTCAGACTTTTAAAGAAAAATAACTTGAGTGAGAAAATACTGATGTCTTTCTATCGCTGCTCAATAGAGAGCATTTTAACATACTGTGTCTGTGTCTGGTTTGCCAGTTGTACGGCTGTGGAGAGGAAAGCACTCCAGAGAGTTATCATCACAGCCCAGAAGATTATTGGCTGTCCTCTCCCACTCATGGAGGAATTGTATAGTTCTCGATGCTTGAAAAAAGCAAAGAACATTTTGCAGGATTTGTCACACCCTGAACACTCCCTGTTTGAACTGCTGCCTTCGGGTAGAAGATATAGGACAATCAAAACAAGGACAAACAGATTAAAAAACAGTTTTTATTCGAGAGCTATTATTGCTTTAAATGCTGTATGAATTGGAATTTGATGGTTTTGTTGACATTGGTTTTTAAGTTGCAATGTGAACCCTAATGGTTGTGTGAGTGTATATGAGTATGGTTGTGTGAGTGTATATGAGTATGCTTGTAGATCACCGAATGATTGCACCTTAATTTCGTTGTACTATGTACAATGACAATAAAGTATATTATTATTATTATTATTATTATTAACCATCTGAACTGGTGATATCAATGTCTGAGAACATCTGTACCTGTTGTATAACTGCCTAGGAACCCCATCTTTCCCTCGCTTTGACCCCG